GGCAATCCAGAAACTTGGATTGCCCTTGTGTGGCTGGACCTAGACGGCCTGTGATGCCTTAGATCCGCCGGCCCCAGTGCCGGTGCGTTGGGCAGAGCCAGCTGTCCGGTGCCAAGCAGCCGTTGTAGATATGTAATAAACGAATGCTTGTATCCAGCTTTGAGGCGTAGACTTGCGCTACATGGCGGGAAACAAAATTTAGCGTAGGACAGGACTGTGGATGTCATATGCGCATTCAATGCCCTAGCTTGGTAGGTGGACTGAGGCACGTAGGCATGTCGTGACTTGCTGCCTACTTCTTATGTGCAATTGTTTAGCTTTGGATCTGTTGTTCGGCCTGCCTCAGTAGACTGACACATGTCGACATGTGAATCTAGTGTTTGATGTGGTGGTCTATTTTGTTTTAGGCGCGTACATGCTTCACGCATTTCGGCGTCCTTGCATAGTCTGGCGGCTTTACATGTCGAGTTGCAAGCATAGATATAGTCGGACCGGTTGCCTGAATCCGTGCCATCGGTGAGCGAGTGTACGAGTCGATAAGACCTTCGTCATGATCATGCTTGTGTCACCCAGTGTTTTTTTTGTTCTGTAGCTGTTGGGCTGGAGTTACGTTTGCCAAGGCGCACAGAGCAAAGGTGCTAGTGGAGTGCACCCAAACGCTTGGGGCAAACAGGGATGGCAACAAACTGATTTGGGAAACTGCGCACAGGTTGCATCCACGAGACACGCAAGCTCTCTATCAAGCAGTAGGTCTCAGTAGGTGCCTGGTAAGAAGCGCTATCGCGAAACACTATAGGCCGCCAGAGCGCCCATGATCGCGCCACGCAGCATCGGCTCTGCTGGCACTGTGAAAGCCTCCAAGCAATGCTCACCCACCGGTCACTCAGATGAGCTTCTTTGCGTTTGGGTTTAAGGGTGTCCAAAACTCCCAGAAAAATGTACAGCCACACCAGCAGTAGGAAGCTTGGTAGGGGTTACACAAGTTTTCAACATGGTAGATAAGCACAACAATAACACAGGATACCGCAGAAGATCCAACGTAAGATTCCCCTTCAGCGTGGCTATGATAGATTCGCAGAGTGTGGGACTCCTTGGTGTTGCTATGATGATAAGCTTCGACACGTGAGTTCTCGACCGGATGCGGAAGAAGCCTTATACCACCCTGACGGGCTCCTCCACTTGTGCTGCCGCCAAGGATATGGTGGCAAGAATTGGGAGGCCGAGATCATCTTCTCGTCTGGGTCAAGTGTTTCGGAGAGTTTTTGGTTGAATGCGCTATGACGGCTCAGGGTTTGAATAAGGCTTTAAGTAGTTGTGGTTTCGGGTTGAGTTAAGGTGGAACACCGAACGCTGAAGTTGTGCAGGTCTGGATCTTGCCCACCCAGATGTCGCAGCATGAGCTATGCAAAGTGCAACTTGAGGCTATCAGTAGCAACAGCGTCAGTTGTTCTCCAATCCTTGAGCGCAGAATATGCCCCAATGAACTCGAAAGCCTAACTGACGGGGAACCAGGAGAATGTCAGAGACTGTCAAATTCCTGAGCCTTGGAAGGGGGATGCCCCGAGAGCTCGCAGCAGGCTCTTTGGGCTTTGGCTTTGGGAGGGCTGGGGGCTCTGACTACACGCAGAGCTTCAGGGTGTAGGGTTTAAGCCCTACACCCTAAACCCGAAACTATAGGGCTTCAGTCTGTAGGACGGGAGGCTATAGCTTATCCAGATTTTGGAGACGAAATCAAAGACGGTCCCTCGGGCCTTCAGATGTCTCGGAAGTGTGGGCAAATCGGAGATGAGCTCAAATCCGAGGCTCATGTGTTAAACCTCCCTATGTTCTTTGCTCACGGGCCTTCTGCAAGCCTGACATCCTTAGATCCTTGAGCCCCGAAGGCTCTTCCACCGTGAGGCGTCGACCTTTCAATCGACAACACCCATCCCTCAAGCCTCAAACTCTTCCGACGGATCTCAGCTCGATGCCAAAAAGCACTTCGAACTCGTCAGTCACCTCGCCCGGTTCGCGAAGTGAGTCCAAACCGTGACAGGCAGGGCAGGTCCGGCAGTGAGATTGCGGGAATCACTGCCTCGCTTCTCCACTGTGGCTGGCAGCGGCAGCATCGTGTCTGGGCGCTATCGAAGCCGCACTCGTGTTTGGACGAGAGCTTAGGGTGCCTTAGGGTCTAGAGTCTACAGGGTTGGCGATCATACTCAACAAAAGCTCAGGACTTTTCGTCTGTACATGTTGTAGGCTGTATGTTGTAATTTGTTCTGGAGCCGTACTGGCCCTCTTCGAAACTCCCTTTATCAAACGCTACAACACACCACAAGACCCTTATGTGAGGTTCGGTCCACGAGGCCAAAGTCTTAAAGGCAAGGGGCCGCCAGAACGTTTTGTTTCTGGGAGGCACCTGACTATGGTGCCCCGTGCCGTGCATTCTTTGCCATTGGGGAGTGGTCGTTTCTGGAAGCCTGCCCAACTCGTTGTTGGAAACATACTTGACCTGCTTGACATCGCGAAACGGTATTGACTTTTCTAGTCACCAGGCCGACGTCATGAACTGCATAAACTCTAGATCCTGTATGGGAGCTGCTGTAAAGAGTAAGCCTTCAAGTCGAATCCATAGTGTACGTACGGATCTGAGCGCCCAAAGTCCTTGGAGCTTCAGCCGATCTTACAGTGCCCGGAGGGCCAGACTCGCAAGCCCGAGAGCTTCGAGCTTCCTATCCCCTTGAGAAACCGCTGTAAGCGCCATACGGCCTAAAAGTCCACCATGTATGTTAATCTGGCTCAAAAGCTTGCGTCCATTAAGGGTTCACTTATAGGGTCCTTACAAGGGGATTTGGGGGGATTTAAGCTAGGTTCCGTCTCTTTTCCTGAGGCCTTCGTTCCGCACCTCGCTTATCGACAGATGTGCCGGAGCCTTCGAAACGACGGTGGCCCCGGTGGTCTTCTCTGGACGCGGAGATCCTGGAGGTGCAGATACTACAGGGGCCTTAATATCTAGAGTAAGGTCTCTAACAACAGGGGCTCTCTAAGGCTTACACTAAGGGTTCTAAGTGTAGAGACTTTGATACTTAGAATAGGCTTTTGGGGTACCTGATGCTGTGGTTATAGGCAGGAGCCCTAAGAATCAGCTTCGGATATGAACTGACGCTTCAATATTGCTCAGGCCCAGGGTCGTCTCATTGAAGGCTGGGTTTTACAGTTCTCTGACGGGGTTTCGAGCAAAATGGTCCCTGATGCCTTAACGCAAACTGCAACATGACATCGTCATCCGTGGCTGTGCGGCGAGGTTTGGGCCCCTGCCGTCGCCAACCTCATCCTCCTGCCTTTGGTGGGATCGATCGACCTGTTTTGGATCGGTCAATCCCGAGCCTTGTGCTGCAGCTAGGTGTCACCCGGTCTCTGTCGCTTCGTGGTCTAGGTTAGCACTTAGCCTTTGACTTGACACATGTAGAACGCCTAGAGATGCTCAGCCTAATCAAATCGAGCGTTCAGCACTGGCGACACCGGAGCATACCTAGCTCAGGAGACCCGTGGGCGATTGCTGGGATGGGTGACTTGCCCTTACTGCAACGGGTGTTCTAAGTGTCGCCGACGTGCTACTGGTGGCCGAACGAGCGAGTTGAGTTAACGACACTGTGCCAACTTTCGGTTAGCTTGAGAACAGCCTTCACTGCATCCGTGGAACAGCGAGGTTGGCGACCACCGCGCGCACACACTCGCGCGCAGGGTGCCATCAAAAGTGACTGCGTTACCCACGTGTCGCAGCAGGTGCGGCCAACCAAGTTTACAGCACCATCTATTTCCTCATCAGCTTCCTCCCTGCTGTGGTTACGCCTCGTATAGCTGAGGAGAGCCGGTCGCCGGTCCCAATTCTAGCGGTAGATTCACATTGCCATTGGGCGTGGGTGTTAGCTAGACTTTGTCTTCACAGAGGATAGTTCAACACAAGGACGCCGCCAGAGTTCTTGTAAGATCTGTCTTGTGGCTTTCCTATGCGAAAGAAGGTATATGAGGGGTTACCGTTAGAAGTCCAGGGCGTAGCTGAAGATGGCTCTGCAATGAAAAACCAAACATGGTGATGATGCTCGTCATGGTGCTCCTGGTGGTGATGAGCATGGGAAGAGAAAGAGCATGTTGATGCAGATGGTTGTGATGAAGAGCACGAAGATCTAAGAAGACCATTATGATGATGGCGGAGGTGTGGTGCTGGCAGTGGTGGTGGTGGCGGTGGCGGTGGCGGTGGCGGGGCGTGGTGGCGGTCGGGTGGTGGTGGCGGGGGTGGCGGTGGTGTTAGCAGGGGTGCTGAAGATGAGAATGATTCAAGAATGGGCATGATGCTTGGGGGGCGGGGGTGGTTTTGTCGTCGTTGCGTTGGTGACGGCTTCCAATTCGGGGGCAACGTGCTTGTCCTTGAAATCAGAAACCTCGATCCTATTGGTGTAGACACAAGAGATGCATAACTTCTCACCCATCTCATCAAATGAAATTAAAGATGATCAACTGCACTGTGGCGATATGTCTCTTGGACGAAGTTTGGCAGGAGATTGCCCGGGGTCGCAAATCGATGGCGGCCAAGTGGGTAAGAGAAGCCCTGGGCTTTGCTTGCCTCATGGGGGCCTTTGGCACTCTGGCGCTTGTCCCTCGGCGGCCTTAGAATGGCCTTTACTTGTCAAGTTGCTAGTTGGGAACCAGGAGCTTTTCCCGTTGGGAACTGGAGCAGCCAAGGTGAGCTTTCCCCATGTCGTGCTGAAGCTCATTTCCGATAGACCTCAAGTCTTAGCAGAAGCAATACCCTACGCACGCATCCGGGGCCTCTCCCTGATAGCCACTCTGTGCAGCACCGTGAGCTTCGCGACCTTTCGAGGGCTTCTGGACTTCCGCACCCCTTTGAGGGTGTCATTGGCGGCGAACATGTTGAATGCCTGCCTTGTCGCTTGCTTGCATGTTCGGATTTCATGCTAGGGCATAACCCGTCGTCAACCCGTAAGCCCGCAAACCTGGAGTTTAAGGACGCGAAGCTAGCCCTGATGCTATAATTCTTATACACATCCAAAACTGAACAGCCCCAAGGATCCACTGCTTATGTTCGGCTTCGGCTTGGGAGTCTCGGGTGTGGCTGCTGCGACATCCATCGCAGAGCTCTTCTCCGCAGTGACTTTCATGCCAGGGCCTTTGAACTGGCTTTGATATAGGGACCTGAACAATTACTTAGAGTTTCCAGATTTCAATCATATTCATACCTATTTGACTATACTCCAAACTCCCATTCTAGTCATTAAGGTACTTAACTCGGTTTAGGGGTTTAGTCTTGGACTTACGGGTTTAGGAGAGCCTGGTCGTGGATGATGGCGTCATCTTTACTTAGGTCCTTCCCTTCAGTTGATTTTGGTTTATACGGTATAATATACCCGACACTAAGCCCTATTCTAGCTTTATGTAATGGGCTAGGCCCGAACTAACCCGAACAGGATAGCCCACCAAAGCAGAAAATCGCGCAGTTACTGCCCTCAGCCACTGCTCTGCTCGGAAGACCTCAGGGTTCAGGCTTTAAGGTTTAGGCTTTGGGGTTTCTAGGTACTCCGAGCCTACATATACCTTTCCCATAATATGCCACCCCACCCATAGTCTACCAAGGCCTCTATAGTACGCCCTTCTGCCCATTTCGGGCCCATGACAGCAGTCGAGCCCCTTGTGATAAAAGAGTCGTAGCGGCGCAGAACAAGACAAGCCCTGAACCCTGTCGTGGCCATTTTTGGCCCAAGCTTTTGACAGTTTTGTGCGCCCCAGTCCGCTCACTCTTGCTTCCAGAAGCCAGAGCCATGGCGGAGCCAGCGCAGAAGAAGGCACGCAC